CTTCTCTCCAGAGACGTTCATGGTCATCCTGGACTTTGTGTATTCGGGCATATTGTCTTTAACCGGTCAAAATGTGATCGAAGTGATGTCAGCTGCTAGCTATCTGCAGATGACAGATATTCTTAATGTCTGCAAGACATTCATTAAGTCCTCACTGGATATTAATGAAAAGGAGAAGGATCATTACCTCAGCCTTTCGGCCAAAAGTACAAACAGTGAACCTGCCCATCCATCTCTGTATCGGTCAAGAAGGAAAGCGAAGAGCAACCCCAGGCGTTCCTATTCAGTCCCGGATGAAAAGACTAACGCGGTGAATGAAAATTCCTGGAGCGGTTACAGCAGCTATCTGTCCTCACAGGTGATTCTTCAGCGGGCAGAAACACAGCTGTCGAAAAGAGGCCGAAAACAGGGCTCAACGAGAAAGCGCCGAAAGCACCTCGGACTGACACAGACCCGGGATTTTGCGCAGTGTAAATCGAACAAAGCCGAGCGGGCCAGCGGAGGGTGCAGCGCGTCGGATCCCAGCCACATCTCTCGGGTTAGAGAGGAGGCTGAATTTGATGCCGAGAACGATGTCGATCACGATGATTACGGATATAATCACGAATCAGAAGTGATACCGAAGAGGTGGGCTGTCGCGCAGCTAGAACAAGAACTTTCACGAACTCCCGAGTTCATGGAATTAAAAGCCGAGGAACTGTACACCTCCATGCCCACCATTTTAGGTGTCATGAGTAGTTGGAACGAAGGTAAAAAATACATGTGGTTTTGCAAAGTTTGTCTTTTTTGGGAAGAATTCAGGTGATCTTTTGGTGAGAATGTGTACGGCTGCATGAAAATCAAAACGATGCCTAGAGTTGCAGATTATTTTCTTGTATCTACTCGATGGTAGTGCCTAACAGAGTGAGAGACTTCGAAGCCAGCACAGGGCATGAGAATTAGAATCCAAGAGCTTTGACTCGGGTATTCTGTAAGGTTGAAACCATACGTGCAGGTTATTTGGCCCCGAGTGGAGTTTAATGAAGCCTCAAGAGCTGCAGTTGACTTGGGGACCTGAAGGACTGAATTTCTCTTGTTATGTCCCCAGTTCCTGGCAGTAACAAGGCATTCAACCTAAATCCAACCTAAGCCCTTCGCAAGAGAAGGTCCTGTCGTTGGCGGGATGCTGCGTTTCCCTTAAGGTCCAAACCAGCCCAAACTTCCCGAGCGTTGGGCCATGCTACATAAAGCATCTGAGCTCTTGAGGGACTGACGGCACGCACCTGAGATGGTGGGATAGCGTTGACAGGTGTATTCTTACGTGCACCCCTTTGGAAACAAATGTACCTGTATTTTATTACAATTGCCTATATTTTGAGACTTTGGGCATCCTTATGTATTACAGAGAGATTGTAAATGTCCAAGCTATGCACTATTAGCCAGTGGAAGAGGCAGATATGGTGACTATATATTACAGCTATGTATTTATGATCATCTGTATGTCTAAAAAATACCCTGAGTAAGAAAGAACACATTATCAAATGCCCGTTTAACACATTCCGTAAGAAATACTGGTTCGGGGGGATTATATTTCAGGATTTTTCCTATTTAGTGACAGACCAGAGGAGAAATGAACTGCTGCTTATTTAAGCTGAAAAATAATCCATCTGCTACATCAAGACTACTGATACTTGACGTTTAACCTCTGTTTCTCTGTAACAGATGACCTACCTCGGATGCGATTCAAATGCCCCTTCTGTACACACACAGTGAAGCGACGCGCGGACCTGAAGCGACATCTCCGGTGTCACACAGGGGAGCGCCCGTACCCGTGCGAAGCGTGTGGGAAGAGGTTCACCCGACTAGAGCATTTACGTAACCACTTCCAAACGGTACGCCACTTGGGTCAGAGATTCAGCCTAGAAAAAAAAAAAAAAACCCACAGGATGTCACTGGTACCAGCTGCTCAGTCATTTCCAGAACTAATACCAGAAAAGCTTCCTAGCTGCGCATCAACTTTAATTATTCATTATTTAAGTTGGCAAATTATATTTTTAATTTCATGTTTTAGAATGATTCAGTGAGTTCTCTAAATTAAATAAATAAATAGAATCTGCTTTTGGATGCACACTGACATTTTCAAATTTTAAATCTCTTCTAGATACATCAGGCTGGCAAACTGATCTGCAGAAAATGCAAGCGTCACGTAACTGACCTAACAGGATGTGTTGTTCAGCAAGGAACAAGACGCTACAGACTGTGCCATAAGTGTCTAGCAGAAGCTAATTTTGACAGCATCCCTGATGATTTAGATGCAGAACATTCTCCTGTCTCCTCCACGGGAAACAAACGTTCCAAATGGGCTTTGGAGGAGGAACAGAAATCGGATGAAGAGACAATGGAGGAGGAACCGTATAATTTGGTTGTCCGACATGTAAATGATGATATTCCGGATGAGGTAGATGAAAAGGTGAAACCAAATCTTAGGTAGATACATTTGTGTATTTGTTACTGTTGTATTCAAGATTAAATTACTTGTGTCCTACCAACTAATGCTGGTTTATTACTTTCATTAAATATTGCTAAAATTCTACTATGAGAAGCAAAATATGGACTATGGACAAGTTGTTTTGTACTTGCAGACATGCAACAATGTAACTACTTCTAAATATCACCCAGAAAGTAACTATTATCTGGAAACTATTTAGAAGAATTGGTTTGTATTTCATCAAAGACTTGCTCAGAGGTTCTGTTCATAATGAAAGTGTGAACCATTTTGCAGTTCTACAAAGATCCTATACAATATAGATTTTTTTAAAACAAATATTGATAATTTGCTTTGAAAGTCTTAGTAAGAAATTAAAACACATTTTTGTTGACACTGTAATTAACATGTATATACACTTCAGAAACTTCGTAAGAAGGGAGTGAAGAAAACAAGTGGAATTCTTCCTGCTGTTTTTGAGAGATTTTTCTTCTGAGTGAGCTCACTGCTTCTTATCGTTCAGAAAAGCATGACTCGTTTTAAAGAACACACACAGCCATACAGAGTAGAATAATGAGCAGAGCATCTGTAGTGCACTTGGATAGCGTGAGTTTGCCTTTTCAGATATGCCGTGTTTTTGTATTGTGAATTTTAAACAAAGATACACTAACATGGTTCCAAGGAAATAAAAAGTGCAATCACTGGAAGTACAGTTGTCAGGTTTTTTCCATTTTTTTTTCCAGGACTGGTGCAAGATTTGCTTAACTCCTGTCTATCTTATGCTAAAATAATAGAGGATGGGTCCCTTTAATTTCAGTGGGACGCTTGTGACTTAGATCATGGAGCTACTTTAGAAAGGCTTTCCTGCTCGTATAAATTTAGGATGCTTAAGGCTGCTTGACAGCATAAAAACATGTGTGTGTAAGACAATTTCCCTCAGAGTTTAAGCAGCCTTTATAATTCTAGAGTCAATTTTAGCTTTTGTAGTAGTTGTATTTTTTGCCCAGTCATATGGGTCAGAGACAACCTCCACTTGCTAGAGAAACTGAAAATGCTCAGTACTAAAATGATAAAAAAATCTCAGAGAGAATGTGTAGAAGAAACACTCTGACTGAGAGCAGAGAATGGCATTCACAGTAGGTACTCTTGATAAAGAGCCACTGTTTGGTCTCATGTCTCATTTTACGTTATGTTTCCTTTCCTGTTAGGAGAATCTGTCGCCTGAGGTTTCTGCCAAGCAAGCAAAAATTCCCTGTAGAGAATTTGAGAACAGCCATATTGATTCACATCAAGGTTCTCCCTGTCTCCAATAGTTGCCATTAACAGATACCTAGGGAAAAGTGAGAACAGGACAAGCCTGTATAATAATTCCCTAATGCTCTCCCAAACTCCAGCCATTTTCAGTTTAAGGGATTTTCTTAATGTGGGATTTGTACATTTAGTAACCACCAATGCAAGTCTTTTCCAAGTACTTCTCCACTCTACCCTCAAACTCTAGATCTAAACTTCTTGCATCAGGACTAAATATCCTTTGGCAAATGCCTCCACAAGTCTCTTGTGCCCTGCGAGTCCCATCTCCTTGGAATCTGGCTCCTAGAGCAGCCACTACCACATCCAGCTGATCCCCCAGCGATGCACACACACTTGCCACACAGCTTGCTTGCAAGAAAAGAAGGGTTTTCAGTTTAAGCATGTTTTTGAATTAACCACTACCAGGTAGTTAGTTGTCTTAGTGGGCCCCAGCTCAGTGAGAGACTGAACCCAGCAACGGGGCTCCTGTAATGCAGTGGGACAACAGGACTTCTTCCAGAGAACAGGCTGCTAACTGAAACCTGTCACTCCCACAGCTCTGGAAATGGAACAAGGCTAATTTAAGGCCTGTTTTATAATAACAAATAAATAAATAAATAAAAGACTAACACTTACTTAGTTAATTCCAAATTTTTTCTAGCAATTTCCTGTCACCGTTTCTAAAAGCAGAGCAGTTTACAGTGTTACTACAGTCTGTGGCTGATGGTATACGCAGGGCATCTCAAGTTAAATTTTAACGACATTAATTTCTCCTCTCCGATTTTAGAGGGCTGGGAAAAAGGAAAAAGCACCCCAGCCGCTGCCCCTCAGCCCCGGCGCCACCT